ATTCAAATCAGATTTGAATCTGGTAACCTCCTGATAAGATCAGGAGTAAGCTAACTTAATCTGCAGATAGGATTAAGATCATCCCCTATCCAAATACTGATTTGGATTGGGATAACTCCTAATTAGGAGGTTTTCTTAATCAAGAAGAAAAGAGGAGAAACCCTAAGAGATATAATCAGATTTCGAACCTAGGGTTGTGTGCACGAAATCATCCTGCGAAATGAGATTGGATCTCATACACACTCTAGAGAGAAGAGAAGCAATTCAGCCATCTTTGTCCCAGGAGTTCTTCTCCAGCCGCCACCATTCTTTCTAGCAAGATTCGATTTTTGAAGAAGAAAGAAATCAAGAAATCAATTATTGACATCAGTCTTGCAGAAAAGACTGAAAAAGGTTTGGTACTCAGAGTTTCCAGAGGATTCTTGAGAAGGATCCAGTGTGTAGGACACACTCTGCTGGTTCCGTTCCACTATAGCTGTGTCATCTTCAGCAGGAGCGGATCTTGATGTCCTCGTTGGGCGTGAACACCGACTTTGGGAGATACTGCTTTTCTGGATCAGGTATAATTCCTCCGTTCCCTTTTTGGTTCAGATCTGGTTCGATTATGGTTCAAATAGGATCCTTGAATATTGTATTCTAAATGTAGGGAATATGATTCCCAGTTGGGAGAAGGTAGGAAAATTTTTTAAATTCGCCCACCCATTCCGCAATCTTTATGGCATCCGTTAGATGGATCCTACAGTTCTTTCACTTGTTTGATGCAATGCTTCATTCAGCATTCACTTTATTTCTTCTGCGATTAATCTCACTTCAATTCAGGAATCCAAGATCATTCTTTCTGAGAAGACGGAGATACACTGAACCATGACAGTCAGCCATGCATGGATGTCATGCATCCTGCAACTCCGCAAATCGGATGGCATGTTTTAGGTGGGGTCCGGTCCATTAAAGGGTGCGGTCGTGATTATCTTATCCCATTTGTTAAATCAATGGTTTAGGGGTTTAGGGCTCAAAAGGGTCATCCATTTTAGCTGGAGCACTTTTCAACATCGCTCCTACCTTTATTATATAATTATATCATCTACCAGACGTTTAAATCAGGGCATAATAACATAAATCTTATATCCGATCCAATCAATTCGAATTTGAATCCACTAAAATGTCAGATATCTGAATCTGATTGATCTACGGTCTGTAAAATTTAACAAATTATTAAAACAATACAATTATTTTTTCCCAACTATTTTTATTATATATATATATATATTCAATCCCATTTCTAAATGAATCCATTTTTTATCCGATTAAAGATATTTGAATCTAACAAAATAGGACCGGATCACCATTTACACCCCTAAATTTTACCTTCTCCCATAAATAAGCTTTATCTTCTTGGCAAGACGTCATTCCATTACTAGTAGTTGAATGCTATTCATACTCGCGCTTGGACTTGTTCCATTTTACGAATTCAGCTCTCCTACGGTCCTACCCACAAGAATCTTTCTTACTCACATGACACATCTCCCATGAATGCTAATATACAAATACGGGAGATGTTGTCAATGTACAGCTGTAGTGAGGCATGGGTAGGAGATCCCAACTCTCATTTTACAGCGTTATGGACATACTTAATTCTCAATGCCCCAACAGTAGGCTTTCAGTCTCCTTAACTCTCAATGTTTTCATCTTTAAAAGTGTGTTCCTGAAACAAGTTCAAAGTTCGGCCATTCAGCTACTATGAATGACGAATCCAGTTGTAAGAGTTCAAATCGGCCCCCACAACGTCCCACAGCACATCCCCACTGTGTATTGGGAATATCTCCCAATGATGACATCATCATTTCTGATATTATCATTGGAAGATGTTCCCAATACATAGTGGGGATTTGCTGTGGGACATGGGGGAGGGGGGGCTGATTTGATCTTCAGTTGAGTTCAAATCAGTCCCCCACAACGTCCCACAGCACATCCATTGGGAATATCCCCCGATGATGACATCTTCATTTCTGATATTATCATTAGGAGATGTTCCCAATACATGGCAGGGATGTACTGTGAGACGTTGTGGGGGGCAATCTTGTGGGAATATCTCCCAATACACGGTACTTAGTATAACCATCACATAAAGCAATGAATGTATAAGAAAAGCCTCCACCACATACTCGCATATGAGTCAATTATAATGGGCATTTGACACTTGCGCTATGTTTGATTTGAAGTAAAATGCAGGAAAGGAAGGGAAAGGTAGGGAAACCTTGTATAGGTTTCCCCGACTTTCCCTTCCCTTCCCTACATTTTCCTTCAAACCAAACATAGCCTTAATATAACCATCAGATAGACCAATGAATGTATGGGAAAAGCCTCCACCACATACTCGTCTATGAGTCAATTATAATGGACATTTGACATTTTGGACTTCCAATTAAGGCTGCCAATGGACTCTGGACTGGATATTGATCCAACCCGACCTGATCCAATGTGAGTCCATTGCAGATGGACTAGGTCCAATCCAATCCGATGAATATTTTGGACCATTCTGGACTGGTCCAATTAAATGTTTAGACTGTCCGTTCAAATTGGTTTTAATTTAGATTGGATCCAACCCAAATCTAGTCCATTGACACCTGTACTCTTTATCTTCTTCAATGGACCGGATATTGGTTTAATCCAATTCAATCCAATATAAATCAATTACATAGGGACTAGATCCAATCCCATCCAATATAATTCCATTACAAATAGACCAAGACCAATCCAATCCAATAAATACTTTGGACCATTAAGTCTGGACTGGTCCAATTCAATGTCTCTCATTGGTCCGTCCAACCCATTCAAATTGATTTTGATTTGGACAGGGTCCAACCCATAATCGGGTCCATTGACACCCTACTTCTTCACTCGAGTAACAAATAGAAGTTGAAAAACTAGGTCATAGTTCAGGACTGAGTGCCAATGATATACAAATCATTCCTACAGAATTACATTGTAATAGCAACCAGAAACTGTCTCTGGTTCAGGACAAAAGAAAAAAAAAATCTATGAAATCAAAGGGAGGTTACAACTGAAGAGCACTAAGGAATATCAATTCACCTCAATATAACAGCTCCTCAAAAATGGGATCCACGCATTGACTCCAGCTCCCATGGTATAATTCCAAAAGCTTTTCAGCTGGCGTTACACCTGCGTAAATACATCATCATTCAATTATGAGGGCCCATGAACCTCTGGTAGTGGGGGATAGAGTTGGATCATATCCAAGATTGTATAAAGGCACTAGGTCAATTTACAGATCATCAATTCAGAATTCAATGGAAAGTCCAGTAGTTTCAGTTACCAGGAACATACTGAAGCTACAAGTTGCATCTTGAGGATTTTTATTTATTTACTTTTTTTTAGGGAGCAACAAAAATATCCTCTAAAAGGGAATTCACTATAAGGACATCATACCTCAACTATAGTAAATTCTACCCGAGCCATCAATTATCATGGGTGTCAAAGCTTTGCATCCCTTTTTTTTGTGGCAAATATATCAACATCTAAAATCAAAACTAGTGCCCCAACCATTAGGCGTTAATTCGAGGATGCTTTTGATAATAACATGACATAATTTGTTTAACTCTAGTGGAAATCTCTAAAACCATTTTCTCAATACTGAAGAATTTGTAAGCTCCAATGTACCCAAACCAAGTCCTCCTTCCTCATTCCTCTTGCATATGAATCTACCAAAGCATCAATTATGATGGATGTCAAAACTTTGAATTTTTTAAATACTTGGGGGCAGCTTCCTCATGCATGAGGGCAGCTTTACTTTAGGTTGTGTTTCAACAAAGGAATGCAATGCTATAACATTTAAAGATTAGAGTTGGGCAAAAGAAGAATTAATTTAAAATATCTCCAATAATGCAATAAAGATAGCTAATTGGGTAAAAATCTTGGAAGTGTTTTCTGCATTCTCCATTAATGGCATCATCAGTTAATGGTCATCCTCTACCGATGATGCCATTTGAAATTAGCATATTATGGTCTCTTTGTAAGAGTACTCACAAATGCACTTGGTTCCCTCTAGCCACTAATAAGTTTTGATGGCTACAATTTGGGTACGCCAGGGAGCTCAGGAGTTGGTGTGATTGGAGACAATTAAGGTAATATACCAACTTTATTTTCTGGTCCCATCACTATGATAATTCCAACATAGGCAGGATTGATGGCTGTTTTGCATGGCTCAGATAGGCTACAACAATTAGATTGTGGAAGGTAGTTCTAAAATTCTAAGGTAGTTGTGGTTTGGTTTAAGCAAAACAATACAGGTAACTGGATATATAGACATGCTATGGAGGTAAAAAGGATTAAAAGCCAGGCTGGTGAATTAAAGGTAACTTTTAATTGGATTCAGAGATCAGCCAACAGTATGGTTGGAATGCAGTGAAACAAACTTTATTTGGGGGGGGGGGTCTCAAGCTGGAAGCATGTAATTTGTAAGTTAGAAATGGTAACCAGGGGGTGAGTAGCAGGTGGTAGTTCATTCTTATGTGTGCTTGGTATATTCTGTCTGCACAACATCTTTTATGTAAGCATTAACAAAAATTGGGTTTTACTAATGCTAAAAATGTTAAGATCCAAAACCATACCTGTCCTAACTACCTCAGTCACTTCCTTCAAGAATCCTGTTTCTTTATATCCTCTTCTTTCCAGGCCATCCTTCAGAAGACAGATAAATATTATACAAAATATGCATATCTAAAAACTTATCTCCAAAAAAGTTCCACATGAACAATTTTCCAAGTTACCTTTGCCAACTCTAAGACATCTTCTGCAACATGCCTCAACAACCCATCTCGAAATGGAGTCTTCAGACCAGTCTTTGGTACCTGTGACAATAAGTTCCACAATTAATTTCTCCTCCCTGGAACACCTTAAAAGAATGGTGTGGGCTATACATTTTGATTTCATAGAACCAAATTAAAAGCAAGTAATTGTGAAACAGATAAGGGTAGATAAGCTGCCCATATGAGGTACAGTGAAATTGAAAGCAACCATGGAAGATAAAGAAAGTGATAACTAAACTAAGACATCTTGGATTCAGTCTGTCACCATGGGAACATTGGAATTTCGAACACCCAGTTTCAGGTTGCAGTTACCAATCCAAATCCAAGATTCAAAAGATCGACTACAATGAAATTTTATCAGAAGGCATGGTATGAAATTGTCAAGTTTTTCAATTAGTAATGCTCAAGTGAGCATAGAAGTCATAATCGATCAGATTCCAAAAACCTTCCATGGACCAATTACAGATATTGTAGGATTCATTTTTTGATAATTATATCTGCAATCATTCATAAAAAATGATAATTATATCTTCAATCCAACAAAAAATTATTACATTAATATCATCATTGTTGTTATGAAAAGCATCATCACAACTATTTGGATTTGGCAAAATTTGTTCTGTTATTTCACTCTATGCTAAATCCTTTCCAATCTCATCGTGTGTACATTTTGGCCTTCCCCTTGTTTGTTTAGGGATCATGATTAGCACCTAAGAGCTCTACATCTCATCTCTTCTATCAAAAAATCAACATTTAGTTAGTATTATTTCATAGGTGGACTTTAATCCTGATTTCCCAATACCTTTTTTTTTGTGAAAAGAATGATCAGTCTTGTAGTATTTCCCAAATTCTTTTTTTGGAGTCTCAGTAGAATCAAGTGCAGTGAAAATATGGAGCACAATCACTGTACAACCTAACAGAAAGGAATATAACTTGATGTGCTAAGCATCCAAGAAATCTTTATAATAAGAATTTTTATGAGGTGGGACTGTTTTCTTAGAATTATTCTATTAAGGTTTCACCTTCAGTTTGATTGATAAGCATCAGTTAGAAAATTCCAAAAATCCTATATCCATTATATACACTAAGCTCAAAATTTGATGGGAAATTGTCTGCAATATAGAAAAATATCAATAAAACACAGCATATTAGTTTTTTTTGATATATGTTAAAGATGATTGTTGCATATCAGTTATTATTTCATTGCTGCTTTCTCTTATTCCAAACACATTTACTTCTGACGTTGATTAAAAAAATTGAGTGTTTGTTCATTTTGACCTGGGGGGGGGGGGGTTGGCAGATTCCAAAGCAAAAAAACCATAAAATTTACATCTTGTGTATAATATTTGTACTTTACAGTACCTTATTTCTCAACATCTGTCGTTCTTCCAAAGTCCAATCTGCAGTCATATCAAGAATATGTTGTAAAGATACTTCATCATATAATAAGCCCACCTACATTCAAGACAGAATCAGGAGCTAGTTATTTATTTTTGTAACTTAGACCAAGGTGAATTCAACAATCATCACATGCTGATGCTGTGGCTCAAGCAGGTATTCCAATACATTTGCAGAGCTAAGCCATATGACTTTATAAGGTACAAATTGCTTTTCATATCACCCACATTAAAGTAATATCCTGGTAAATAAGTCTTGTAACATTTATATGAAGAGAAATGCTAGTAAACAATGAGCTTATGAAACTCTTGGATAACTTGTCCTGCAGACATGGTGGGAATGGTATTCATAAGAAGACTCCCTGAAAAAACAAAATAGACATGCTTTTCATGGGTTCCACCTTGTCTGTAGGGTGAAAAAGAAAAATCCAAGAGTTGCATAACTCCTTTACTAGAATTCCTCTTACATGAATAATTAAATATGACACCTGAATGCAAAAAATAAATTTTTTTAATGAAATTAAAAGAAATTTTTATTAATCATAAAAAGACACCTGAACTACCCAAACAGGCAGCAGGCTCAGTACAAAGACAGCACAGAGCTGATCATACTTAATAAAAAACAGAAAAAACAAATTATAACAAAAACCTTGGACCTGGAATCCCCCATTCACACCACTGTCTAGCAACACGTGCTCTGGCTAAACTGTCAGCTAGGGAATTGGCAGATCAGGAAATCCACCTGAATGAGCAGTTCAGACTTCTACCCAAAAAAGAGGCTTCCCTAACCAAAGATCTGAGTCTCCAAGGAGGGTCCTCCTTGGAGAATAAACTTAATACTTGATCTCCATTACATCCTGTCTGTCAAGCACTATTACAAGTACCTACTTATGTTTATTTCATTTACAACAGTGTAAAAAGGGCCAATGTTGGTCCCAGATACCTGTGGTCTTAGGAGGGATGGACTGGATACAGACCTAACCTTAGGCATTTTTTTGCACAAAGTGGCTACTCTCAGACATTTGATTTACATTGGTATATGAACAGTAAATCATGAATCAGGGACATAATCGAATTCAGAAAGACCAAATACCCAAAATGCTGGCAAAGCACATAATCTCCTCCAAGGTCCTCCATCAGCGCCCCTCATTTCCAAATATCTCTTCAGCCTGACCTGAACAGAAACAGCCCCAGATAGCTTACTTACTTGATCAGTTGATCTACTGTTATTGGAATATCAAGAATTTCATCTCAGATGAATGTAATAAACCTCTGGAAAAATTGTAGTCAAGTGATTCTCCCAATCATTTAGAGTTGGCAATTCACCCAGCAAAAGGGGAAGTTTTCCAGCCATGAAGTCCTGAAAATATACAAATACAATGTAATCATGTCTCAACTAAATTGCTAATATGATGGCAAATAATATCAAAATGTGGCTGCAGAAAGAAGCTCAAAATCAATTAAATGACAGATTAGAAGGATGGATGTAGACCCGGAAAGACATTCCAGTACAGTCAATATATCTCTTATTTCGATACACAAAATACATAGGAACATCAAGAGCATATTCCACATACTGCTCAAACCTACAAAAGAGGAGAACAGAAAAAGGAAATGAAAAAAGTTACAACAAGATATCATTAAAAATAAAGAATAGGCTGTGAAAAATAAAAAGAAATAATAGGTATTTCAAATAAAATTTCATTTTCCTCTTAGAGACAAGATGTCAAAATTTGAGTATGCTAACAGAAACCTCCGCCAATCTTCAACAAACTTAGGCTGGAGAAAGAAAAGAAAAAAAGGCTTTGCACAATAAACATGAAATAAAAAGGAAATCACTCTCTACACTGGGATGAAATTCCATTGCTGTTGGATAAAGAAGAAAAAGTTCCACTAACATGGGAATGTACTAACTTCAAAAATAATTCAATTCAATTAGCCACATCTTAATTATTTGGGATCAGCTAAGTGAATCATGTTCCACTCTTTTCAATGCAATGGCTTCTTTCAAACCACAAGTTATTTGGTATTTTCTCACTACTCCAATTTATGGTCTTTCGGATTACCTTATCCTTTCCCTTTCAAAGCTGTACACTTTCACCAAATAAATCTGTCACCATTACTTATAAACGAACAAGCAGTCAACTTCCTCTCCCCTTTTCACCTATTTAATGCTACCCATAGGTTTCCATGCATGCACTTATTTCTTATTATTCTTCCTAGTTTTCCCACTAATCCATCTCAAAATCACATAGCTGAACCATCTTCTTGACTTTCCCTTGTCACCTGTTAATGCTTTGCTGTGCACTTACAATGGTTCAACCCGTACATATGTGCACTTGGGCTGGCTGAGTCATGTGAACCCAAGCCTGATAGTACATATATATGCAGGGGCCCCCATTTGGATGCACAAAAACGAATTTGAAAATCTAATGTATTTCCTACATGGACTCCACAAAAATCTAATCAGCTTGACAGTACATTTATATTTTTACGTGTTTTGTGTACCTTTGAATCAAGTTGGTTAGTAAGGTTTTCTAGGGTAATTTGTGTCTTTTAATTTAAATATTGTGTCAAGGGCAGTTTGGTATTTTTACCTAATCAAGGTTTTGCGCCCCACCACATGAGTTTGTATATACTTTTTATTTCTTTAATTTTTTTAAAGATTTGATTTTCAGGGAGGATGAATAATAAATTATATTATTAACTGCTACTATCTCTTAGTATGTGCAGGGATAAGGCTGCATACATCTGTTCCTCCCCAGACCCTACATTGGTGGGAGCCTCGTGCAATCGGCTTCCCTTTAACTGCTACTATCTCTTCATTGTCAAGCTCCAATAATGATTCCTAGGAAACCATAAGGTGGTTCCAATAGTTTTTATTCTCCTATCTCTCATCTATACTCCTTTGCTATCTTCATAGCTACTAGTTATTTAAGCTTGCTATTTGGTTCTTGAAGAGATAAAATTATAAAGTAACTGGAAATTGCAAACAAGCACACAAATAATAGAAGAAGATCTCTTACACAATCAATAGAAGTAAATTGAGAACAAACAAATCAGATCTCAAAAGCAAGCAACTATAGAGAACAACAGAAGAAACTTAATTCCTTTATTGCTGAAAACAGAAACAACTCAATAATGATAAGATGAACAGTAATGTGAACAATGTTAGGAGCCTTTATAGTCTCTTAAACCCTATAAACATCAATGTTAACTACCTAAATTACCATTGGTCATTGGATACCACTAAAAGACATCATCATTTATCAATTAGACTCCCCAAAATACCATTATATTGAAGAAATAATAAAGAAAAAAAGATACAACTGGCCACGTTTTTCCCTAACCAAAAGAACTATTCTAACTCACTAACTACTAGCACAATTGATATGAAACTTAAGCCATGAATACACTATGTTGGGGCAACCTTAAATGTGGGGCCGACTGATCAAATGTTTGACTTTGACTTTGATGAACTATTCACAGACACAGGAATCCAGCAGCATTAACCTCCCTTGATGAAAACATTCCTGTAGTCTGGTTAGCTTGAGCTTTGGAGGGTCTCTCCTATGATTCCTAAGCTTCAATGTCCAAATTTCCAATCAATCCAATGGTGAGATTGAGAAAAATTGTGTCTGCAACTGCTTCCCAGAAGTTAAACTGTTGACATAAAGTCTTCTCATTCACCTCTCTTATCCTTCTTCTGAGGTTTGGTCAATGATTGATGAAAACCATTTGCATCAATAACTATCATCTGGACTGGTTTTCAATCCAAAGCAAGTGAACTACTTTTCTAAAAATAAGTTAATAGCTTTCCAAACACTTTAAGGAACTCTAAGCTGAGATTGCCCCATCCAAGTTATGCCCTAACCTCAATATAACTCTTCAAAGTTCAAACCACCCCCTCCCAATAAAAAGAAGAAATACTGAAACTCTAGAGATCATTTTCAGCCATTTGACTTAGTTCTTCATGTTCCAGTACTTCTCTCAAATTTATGCCTTCCCTTCAAACTTCTGAATTGCTTGCTCCTGTGTCATAACTTACAAAGCCTAAACCAACCTAAAATAGTCCTAATTCCCAATCCCACATTAACCTAGTTCCATTGCCAGGAAGATCCTTTTTCTTTACTTTGACCTTTGTCCTTAAGCCTAATCCAGACAAAACCCTTAGCTTCCCCAATTTCCTTAACCTATCCTACATCACATTTTGGAGAAGTTTCCATTCAATCTGATTATTTTAGGCCGTTCATGAAACACTCAAGAAATGCATGTGTACTCCATCTACCTGATTCTAATGTAGTATTCTGTTATTGTCTGTTTAAAAGCAAGCACAATATTTTCTATATCTATACAGGCTGAAAGTTATAATTTATGTTACACATAATCTTAGTCATCCAATCAAGGGCACGAGAGTTAGACTTCATAATATAATGCCTAAACACAGGCAAAGAAGACATATGAAGATCAAAGTAGAGACACTGGATTTTATCTTGATCAGCAACAGATCAATTGGAACTTTATTGCAGAGAAAAGAATAAAGAAGGTTTGCTTAGCTAAGAACAGATAATAAGACCAAGTACAATCATGAAAACATGAGAAAACCCATGTTACACTGGCCTGTTTTCCAGGTCAGTAACCCAGTGCAAACAAGATAGTATTAGCTCCTTCCCCAGAAAGAAAATCAGCAAAGAAGTTTGCACTTAGCAGTCCAACTGATGCAGGAGCTGAAGAGTCAAAATTGGAATTTTATGATATTTTATGTATTTCTGTATTTTTGTACATTAGGGGTATTTTTGTCACTTTTGCAATTTTCTGTGGGGTCCAATGCTAGGGTTTAAATTGTCTAGTTGTGGTTTGTTTATGTTTAAAATTTCAGAGTCATTGCATAAGTAGGATTAGAGTTATTGAGTCTTCTTTGAATTGAAATAGGATATGACAGCTTAGTTTGAGTCCTAATTGGAATTACTGAGTCTAACGGTTTGACTCCTAAGACTATTATGAGTCTAACAGTTTGAATCCTAGGATTATTATGAGTTTAGAGTCTATAAATATGTATGAACGTTTTACGCAAAGGCAATGAAATATATTGAGTTTTCTTCAGCTTATGCTAGCTATGGTGAGCGATTCCCATGCCCTAGAGTGATTCTAGGCACCACCCTGTGAGTGATTCCAGGTATTTTCTCTCTTCTTTATCTCCCTATTTTCTCTCTTATTCCTTCAAGAAGCCATTGCAGCCATCAACAGCCATAAAATTCTGATCCAAGAAGACCATTCAACATTCTCTAAGGACTAGAACTGAGCTGGTCCTACATCAGTTTGGTATCGGAGCTAATAGTTTATTCACTATGTTCTCACAAAGTGACCGGTTCTATAGGCCTAGGGTATCTTCTAGACAATCTTACAGGTCTAGAATCAATGATGATTGGGTTTCTGAAACCATATGAAGGGTCTTTGGTTGACTTATTTGAGAAGATGGTGGAAGAAAACAGAACTAATAATGTTGGCTACAAAAGCAAGGTTTTCAAACATGTTAGAAGAGAAAGGGAAATACCAGATTTCAAAGGAGATGATGATCTGCAAGCATTCTTTGATTGGGTTGCTGAACTAGAAGAATATTTTGATTGGCATGATATGCTTGACAAACAAAGGATTAGTTTACACGCATGAAGCTAACGGGTCATGCTAAAGTATGGTGGAGAACTCTTGAGCAACGACTAAAAAATAGAGGCGACGATCCAATTAGTACATGGGCAGAGATGAAGAGGTGTTTGCAAGAAAAGTACATCCCACTAGACTTCCATGATGATCTATATATGGAGTTGACTAATTTCGAGCAAAAGAAGAAGCAGCGGGTTACAACAAAGAACTTGAAGTCAATGGGAAGAAAGTACAAAGTTGAAAAGAAAGTAGATGATCCTTTGCATGTTGATGCCTATCCTATAGCTGAAGTTGAGGATGAAGCTAAAGAAGAAGAATTTCAAGCTATAGAAATTGTAGATATTAAAAATCAAGAGGGTGCAGGTCAAGAAAAAACAATAATTTTTGGAGTTTCCAACACCCATGATCAGCCTGAGGTTAATGATCAAGAAGAAATAGAAGAGGAGCAAGTTAAAGAAATTCAGGTGCAAGATACAAATGTGTTGTTGACTGTAGTAGATTCTAATAAGAAAGAAAGTGACTTTACCTTTCAAGTTCAACTAGAACTAATTCAAGAATGACAACCTGACATTGCGCAAGTTCCACCAACAATGGAAGGAGTCCTAGAGTTTGTTGAAGAACCAAGGATAGTAGAACACGTAGAGATGGTGATTCCTAAGCTAGATGTCGAAGGAAAGGTTCCAAATGTTTTTTTTTTTGGTAATTAAAAAGGATTAATTTCATTAATAAAACTAGTGCAGTTACAAGCTTCCCTTGGAGAGGCGCGGGCTGCATCCTCTCCTACCAGTAGGAAGAAAGGCAAAAGATAGAAAACAGATTCAGTCTACAATTGAGCCCAATACAAACTTTCCCTATTTACCCCTTGCTTTGCAAGACCATCAGCCATAGAGTTTTCTGACCTCCCCACCCATTGTATTCTCACTGTCAAGCTTCTTGTTAGGCAGTTGAACTTTTTAATTTCATTCTTAAAACACCACACTACAGATTCCGGATTTTGAAGCCAGCCCACTACCACCTTGGAGTCCCTTTCTATTATCAATTGTTCCACACCTATCTGCACTGCTAACTGTACTCCCTGGATAGCGGCAGCAAGTTCCGCCTAGTAGAGTTTCCAACTCCTATGGGTCCTGAGAAAATAAGAACCACATTTGGAAAGGTTCCAAATGTTGCAATTAAGAGTTGGATAAGCGAGGGGAAGATTCATCACAATGGTTGGTTGATGAATTAAGTGTTCAAAAAACTAATGTGATCTATGATTTAACAAAGATGGTTAGGGAAGGCAGTGTTTCAGAAATACATTTCTTTCAAGATCCTTTTCTAGTTCTGTGTGTGGCCTCTACTCTACAGTCCAAGCATGTAGCTGTGGGAAGTCCTACTCCCTTTGTAATTAGGGCATATCAACTTCTCATCCTCAAGATCTTCAAAACTCGAGGACGAGTCTTTTTCAACCGGGGGAGAATGATGCAGGAACTGAAGAGTCAAAATTGGATTTTTATGATATTTTATGTATTTCTGTATTTTTGGACAGTAGGGATATTTTTGTCACTTTTGCAATTTTCTGTGGGGTCCAATGATAGGGTTTAAATTATCTAGTTATAGTTTGTTTATGTTTAAAATTTCAGAGTCATTGCATCAGTAGGATTAGAGTTATTGAGTCTTTGAATTGAAATAGGATATGACAGCTTAGTTTGAGTCCTASTAKGATTATTGAGTCTAACAGTTTGACTCCTAAGACTATTATGAGTCTAACAGTTTGACTCTTAGGATTATTATGAGTTTAGAGTCTATAAATATGTATGGACGTTTTACACAAAAGGCAATGAAGTTTATTGAGTTTTCTTCAGCTTATGCTAGCTATGGTGAGTGATTCCCATGCCCTAGAGTAATTCTAGGCACCCTGTGAGTGATTCCAGGTATTTTCTCTCTTATTCCTTCAAGATGCCATTACAGCCATCAACAGCCATAAAATTCTGGCCCAAGAAGACCATTCAACATTCTCTAAGGACTAGAACTGAGCTGGTCCTACATCACCAGCAGAGCAGAGGATCCTAATAATACCTCAAAAAATCCAATGTACAGCCAATAGGTAGTATCAGCCTTTGTAGGGTTCCTGAAGAACTACTAAACACAATGCTGAGGGAAAATGTTCTGCTATCACCAAGTCATCAGAGCATTTGATGCTGAACAAATTTGACTCTTGACATCCATTGGTAATAAATCAGCCTTCCAAACAACTAGGTTAAAACCCAATGCTGAAGGAAAATGTTCTACTAGTATTAATATTTCAGTAAAAATAAAAAAAAGTGGAAAAATCCTTTATCCGGGATTTGAAAATAAACAAATGTTGGCAGCCAGTGGAAAGTTGCAGACATTCTTTAACTGAAAAGGCGAATCTTGTCAATTTTCTCATGCACATAAACCTTCACGAAATTTGAATGAAACTACAGAAATATAGAATGCAGGAAAGGAAGAGAAAACAGAATGAAATTCTTACCCAAATGAGTCATCAAAAACAAAAGGAAGCATGCCAGTACGATTCATATCTGTGTCAGTCCAAATGTGACTGCCATAAAGTGACAAACAAATAGCAGATAAATTCCATGGCAGAAATTATAACATTGTTTGCAACAAATATTTAAGCTAATTGATAGAGACCTTCTCATGCTAAGATAGCCATTTGGCTTTCCTTCAGTGAAAGGTGAATTTGCAAAAATTGCTGTAGCAATCTGTTTCAAATGCTATAGTTGTTAAATGATATGAAACAAGGGAAGTTTCAGTGAGATTATAACAGTTCAAGTTTCTCACAGGTTGCAGAGCAAGACCAGCACGAAATTTCCTGATCATGTCTGACTCAGAACTGAAGTCCAGATTAACCTACCAAAAATAGAAACTGGTATCCTTTAGCTTCTTCAATAATTGAAAAAGGTCATATTCTTGAAACTTAAATAATAAATAAATTCTGAAAATTAGCACATAGTCTTCCAAAAAAAATGATGGAAATTTACAGCCTTCTAGAATATCTGAAAAGCAGCCTCAAGAATTTAAGTTGGAAAAACCTGATCAACCATGCATGTGATAATCATCGTACCTGAACAGTACATGTCCTAAACATCATATCAAGTCCTAGGGAACCAACTTTGGGCATGTATTTCCTCATAATTTCATACCTTCCCTGAGCCAAAAATGTTTTGTCAGTAATGCAACATCAGAACCCATAAGTCAAAAAGAGTATAAAAAGTAAGAGAGAAATACAGTGACACCATTAGCTCAATGCTTGTAGACACAAACAAAACTACCAAAAAAGAAATAAGGTGACACCAAATTCACTGTTTTAAATCCAGAATGAGCTAGCCAGTACCTTTGCATTTATTAAAACCAGACTAAATTACAGAACCTGTTGACTTAACTGGTCCGTCCAATTAGTTAATAAACATGACCAGTTATTTTTATTGATAACAAAAGATTCCATTGGTAAAAGTGAACCCAAGCAAGAGACTGGCCTACGGAAAGTGCTGAGGAAAAATACAACAGGTTAGACATCCCATAATACAGCTCAGCTCTGGAAGCTGGCTATCATTGTGCACCTAAAACTTAAGACATGCAATGATATCCAAAGACAATCCTTCTCTATAATAAGTGACCCAACCATGACCCAATAATCAATCCACCTTCAATCATTTGTTTACATGAATTAAGTAAAAGGAAAACCTGGGGCCTTGGTGAAGAGCACAACTCTAAATAGAAAATCCAATCTCTTTTCCACATTGCCAAGATGGCGAAGACTACAACCATCTGGGTTGGCGACCAATAATGAGATATCATCCCTCCCAAAGAAAATTACTGAAGCAGGAAAAGGAAAAGGTCTCTCTCTCTCTCTCTCTCTCTCTCTCTTTCTCTCACATATATATATATATATATATATATATATATATATATGCTAATCATCATGACACAATGCATAATCCATCTTACAAAAGTCCGTTTTTTATTTCTTCTGAAATGTCGGACAAAGTAGCCAGATGCATACATCTCAAAAGTATTTCCTCCTTTTTCTGTCAGAGATGTTACTATCCCACATAAGCTCAGTGATACCCCCTAAAGTTAACCCACTTCCTAGTAAAAAATTTCAAAATATAACATTATATCCTATTTGCATGAATAAAAGGATTATAGATAAACAGGTGATTAATTGATTCATTATTCGTCTTACACAAGGCAAAACATGAAATTTCCAGAGTAAAATTTCTGTATATATTGTCATCTGGAATATATGGTATTTTGCAGAATTTACTCAAGAGATCAAAGTTAACAAAAGAAAGTGAGAAAATTTACTTTGCATGAAAAACAGTGTTAATTTCAAAAAAGAAAAAGACTACTCTGTCTTTTGAAGTATCACCTGGACGTCCTTAACTGCTAAATGAAACAAATAATAGTACCTCATCAACATGCATGAATGAAGGAATGTAATGTGAATGTTTCACCATGAACACAATAAACTAATAACACGTGCAAGCACATTTGCATGGGCATTGAGTATATGTTGCATGCATACATGTATCCAATATTTGAAAGCAAAACAAAATAATACCTTGGGCATTATAGGTATGTCCTTGAGCTCCCATTTAGGCTGGAAACCAATCCCTAAAAACCCAATTCCCATTTCCTCTGCAACAGCTTTGACCTGTTAAACAGTAGTATGTGGAAAAAAATGAATACAAGTATAATTGCATTTAACATTATATGCCATTAAAGTTTAAAACATTTGTTACATTCAGAGGATATCTACAAGGATATATTCCCATTGTTCTAAAAAGAGCGTATAGTAAGTTGAGTTGTTTGTTTCTCAATAAGAAGAAATAAGATTCAAGTGAATTGGAAAAGGAAGTGGAAAACAAAAAGATAAATCACATGGGGCTCTTTTTCATCTGCTTTGAACTTTTATGACCATCTGTTAAACTCATCAACCTAGGGCCTTTCATTGCATGATGCTAATCCAGATTCAAGTGCCAAATAAGCAGCTACATTATATTGCATCTTAGCACTTATGACAAAGAAATATGGCAGATGAAGGAGACAATCAAATTTAATCATAGATATAATTTATTAATCATGATGAATTTGGTCACTGTGGTGCTCAGGGAAGTGAAGAATGAGAATAGAGTAGTAAAAAAACATGATTTTTCCTTTAAGTATATTAAAACTAAAAAAAGAAAGCAAACAGCAATATTGAGTCTCCTGGACTTATTAACAGGAACATGAAACAAAAAACATGCCACAAGAACAAGCTTTCCCAATTTGTCAATATGAAGAAATGGATGTTAAAATAAGATAATCGGGACACACCTGATAGAGATGTGAATTGACCTCTGCACAAGTTTGATGTAATGTTTCAAGGGGYGCACCACTAAGCTCAAATTGACCACCAGGCTCCAGTGATATGCTTTGCTTCCCCTGCCCACCAATATGTCAAATTTCTTTAGTGAAACATACAAAATGGAAAGGACAATATTTCTTAGTGCCAGTTTATCAAAAAAAAAAAAAAAACTTAGTGCTTATCCTTCTTAAGAGAAACACATTCACCAATGAAGATGCACTTAAGTTATGTACAATATGATCTAGCCTGACAAAACAAACCTATTGTCTATGGCCTCTCAGAAAATTATGGAACAGATAGAAAGTGCCACTAATCCTCATTTGGAGGGAAAGTGTTTTCACCTGCTTAAGTCCAATGATTTTGTCTCCTTCCATTATTTTTTCCCAATCAAATCTCTCAGCAAGACCATTGAGCAAGTGCTTTATTTGTTCATATTTTATAGGACGTAAAGTTCCAATCTCAAAACCAAACTTTTCGTGTTCAGTACCTATCCTGCCAAGACAAGACCATGTAACCAAAGATTCATTAAAGGAAAAAAGAAATAACATAACCAAATCGTTTGAAAACCTCATCAATATAAACTGGTACATTAAAAACTACCAAAAATGTAAAGTATTAATAGGTCCTAAACCCTGAAAAATAGTCTTAATCAGAATGAAGATTCTTTTGTCCTTTGCCTTCTGTTTTTCCCCTTTTGTGAGTGTTAACAAAAACTCAATAAGACGTCAAAAAAGAGATACTGCAGCTATCAAATAAAACTGTTTTTTTCAATTGAGTGATAAATAATTTGGCGATATTCTCATCTAACTCAACAAAATAAATAAATAAATAAAAATAGAGATAGACATCATCTCACCTTATTCTAATTATTCTGGGCTCACTAAAATAAATAAACATGCTCGAAGTAAAATAGATCACAAAAGCTCATTATAGTATAAGATCATGTACCTCCATTTATCCTTTGGCTTACATCCAGAGGCAAGGTATCCTACAAGATCTTCTTTAGTCAATGGTTCTGCGGCAATTACAGCATCTTCTGTAGGAGGACTTGCAGCAACGATCATCCGATGGTCACGTTTGCACCTCAACCCATCGAAATTAGAAATTCTTGGCATTTTCTTAGCACCCCATGACAAGGAGGACGAGCTAGTCATGCCTTCCTTGATTTTGAATGCTTTATTCCTCGATACAATCATATCCCCCACATTACTTGCCGCATTCAAAGCCACATTCTGATCAGAACGAATGTAGCTTGATGGATTTGTCTGGGAAATAAGTGCCATCATGTGTCCCTATTTATTCATGCATTCAACAACATATCACCTATCATTCGTCAAGAAATAAAACGGCGAAACTCAGCCATGATTCGCTGTCGACTATGATACTGGGTTTTATGATTGCTAATTCTGAAACAAACAACAAAAATAGCTCTGCGACACTGTGTGAACTTGTTGGAAACATTAGCTTACAAATTACATAATTACATCCTATTGTCGTAAATGGGATGCAAAATCTTCAAGTATAACCATGTTTTAATTTGTTATTCGTGATAAAAAGAAGTAAATATGTATGTTAATTCATCAAATAAGAAAACCTACTAAGCTCGAAGTGGATTTTGAAGATGAAAACGAGCAAATAAACGATTCTGTAACAAGTTTTTCTATCATTCTATCTGGTAGATTGAGAAAGGAGATATGGAGAGATCACCTGACTCTAAGAATAGAGTGAGAAAGAATCTGGGAAGCTCTGATGCAAGGGCTTGCCCTCTGTTGCCCGATCCCTGGAGTTGAACAAATTGCAGATGACAAATGAGAGTAATGCCAGAGAAAGCAATAAGTGGCACTTTCGAAGAAAAAGTGATGGCTGCTGAACGCTACAAGCCTACAACAATAAAATACAAAAGAAAAAAAAGTGCCGTACTATTTCTATATTGGTAGTCCCCAGTCATTACATATGACACGTCATCACCTATCGGATGACGTCAACAACCTATCGTGTAGGCATATGGGTTGCGAGAGAATGAAACCGGATCTGCTCCTCACACCTGGCGCCTCACAGGAGATGTTAACGGGAGTTAATACGATCGGATGACGTCAACAACCTACCATGCATTGGGAATATCTTCCGTACTTATTAATTATTTTTTACGGGAGATATTCCCAATGCACGGTGGATGTACATGCGCCCATTTGTGACGAGCAGATCCCGCTTCCGAGAGAATATTTGCTTTCTCCAAGCACTTGTACAAATGGTGCACCTACAGCAGTGAAGGGAGTTTAACTTCTGTTGCGAGTTGCGACAACGATTTTAGGGTGTCGGTCTGTCTCTTTGAGTCAGAAATTGATTTTCTTCTCTAGCGTTGGATTGGCATCAAAGTTTGATATGGTAATAGAAGGTGGAGAGGGGTACATATGATTTTGTATGAGATCGGCTTCAGTCAGAGAGCTAGGTCCGTTCGAACAGCTTTTATAATGTTTTGGAACTGAATCCGGTCAATGTATATGGTGTATATCACACGTGGTGCTGGCGTGCTGCCCAACGTGAGGCCTGTGTCTGAACTGAAGTGCTGGACGGCTGGACCCTCTACTAAGGGGCGTTTGGTTCACTGTAAAGTGTAAATAATTAACTTCAATTGATATGCTTAAATAAATTAGGTCAAGGGGTTACCGATAAGAATTGAAATCGCATTACGTGATTGAATTATTATATTGTCTTTTAGTAAATAAGTTTTGAAGGAGGTTATGAGCTCAGCTCATTTATCATTTATGGCTGAGTTGAAATTGGATTTGACAAGGCTGCATTGGTATTTCTTATTTGAAGAGAGTTCCGATCTTATCGTCACAGAGCGCGCCTTACACCCATCACATAGGGCCTTACATCGGAAACATAGGCTCAGTTTGGAAAGAATACAAATGCATGTATAGGATAAATACAAATAAAATAATACAAAATATAAGGTTTACAATCTAGGTATTTGCATTCCTACTCCTAAACTCAGCCTAATTGCATTTATTATATATGGGAGATGTTTCTACTTTATAATACAGAGACTAATGTTGTGAGGTTGGTGTGAGATGCCCTTAGTGAGGAGTATATCTCAATTCATTTTAAAAAATTTATCTTCATTTTCAGTTAAAAATACAGCCTAAATTTATTAATATTTAGGGTCATTTACTATAACAACCCTTATAATTTCATAGACTTGTTTAAATCTTTTCTATAGTTTTTATTTTATTAAAACACTCCTATGATTTGCAACCAATTTATTTATGGACCTTTAATTAAGAATTGTTTGTTTTGTCATCTGAAAATAATAACTGATCAGTGAAAAATATTCAAGAATATGGGTCTATGATTGTTTATTTTAAAAATACCCCAATACTTTTTTTGTAAAAAAAAAAGAATTAATCAAATATAACCAAATAGAGTGCTTGTTTGTGTCTTAATAGGACAAAATTGATATTTTTATTTATATTCACTTTTGATTAAATTTATTTGGATAAATGTTAGGGCTAAAATTGTTATTTTCCACTTTCATCTAATGAAAGGTCTATTAAGTAAATTGATTGCAAACTATAAGAGGTATTTTAATAAAACACAAATTATGAAGATATTTTAGTAAATCTATAAAATTATGAGGGTGCTTTAGTAAATGGCCTTAATATTTATTACGTTAATAATTAGAGAACCGAATCAGATAGATTGGTCTCACTAGAAAAATTGTGAATTGGTACCAGTTTTGTCAGCTTCTAAAAGTTGATGATAACAAAAATTGGCCGACCAGTCATTCCAACTAGGGAATCAGTGAATTGGTTCCGGTCCCTTTTATATAATGGTCAGTTTTTATTCATATAAATTATGATGCGTATGAAAACTTTTGGAGGCTATAGTTTTGTGTTCAGTTGTTCAGTTGGTTTGATTGTTCAAAGCCATTTTGGTCAATATAAATTTTTTATTTTAAACATATGTGTATAGCTAAAAGCTCTTGAACTCTTAGGCTTGTAGTTTTCAAAATATGAGTTAATCACATGTTATACATTTTTTAATTGTTTACATATTTTTCTTTATCTTTGAATAAGGTTTACAGTATCACAAATGCAAAGTGTATTAGAGAGTCAATTTTAAGAGACATATCGAAATATGCTTTGGATATTGATGGGTATGGATGAAAAATGAACATATATACATGGATACATTAGGAATATCACTTTTGAAAGTATGTCACTAAATTTAATGGTATGCTATTTAAATTTGAATACTAATGAGGGATAATTTGGCCCGTCCAATGATGAGATGACATGTGGAGCAACAGAATGATATGGCGACACTTTAGCGACCTCGGACACCTTAGCGATCCTAGTCACCTCAGGCACCTTGGGTCACTCGGTTAAGAATGAGGCCCAAGCATCTCACTACATCTACTGATTTGCCGAGGTGACACGTAGCTTCCTTCTAGAACCAAGCCAAATGTCTACAATCTCCTTGGGATCACGATGCACATCAACGGATCTTATCTTCACCCCGCCCAGATCTGGATAAGCCTTATCAGCTTACTTGGAGTCCATCTTCAAGTGTGAAGCTAACTCCAGGTTAGACGGGCCGGTTATCTCGAACACGCATCGTGAGGCCTACGACTATTTGCCTATATAAAGGCTTTGCCTCCAGCCTCACAAGGTACGCATGATTTAACTCTCACATATTCTTACTTTCAAGCTATCTGGTCTCTCAAAACCTCCATCGCTAACTTAAGCATTGGAGTGCCCATAATGGGTAAAGCACCTCGGAACATTTTGATTCTCTTGTCTTGCAGCTCGACTCAACCACATCACCGGTCCAGTGTCCGAGTTGTCCTCCAGTAGGGAGCGCAGATTATGCATCATCAATTGGTGTCGTTTGTGGGAATATGCAACAAAAATACATATTCTCACTTCCTTGCTACTTCTTCAATGGCATCTTCAAGCAATAACCAACCCGCCAGCAACAACAACTAGGTCATAGGGGGAGCAAGATCAGCCCAGAGCACACCCTAAAGTCCCCTTCGTGACCACTGGGCAGTTCACAGTGCCCCTGACACTACTAGGCATAGTAGCTTTGCCAAACCCAACCTTCCCCCTACACCAACTGAATGTGCCTCGCCCTTCAGTTGAGCCATCAATGGTTCCTGCAGGGATCGACGTGTGCCAGTTCAATGGATTGGTGTAGTATGTCCGTGGCATGAACCTTCATATGCGGATGTGGGAGGAAAGGTTTGCCGCCCTGATGTAGCAATAGCCACAGCAGTAGCAACCTCAGCAGCAACAACAACATTAACAAAACCAGCAGCCAGGCAATCAACAACCCGACAACAGGAACCAAGACAAGGTCCCAGACCTACCTATTAGAACCATGACACCTATTAGAACCGAAGGTAACAATTCGACCGAGGTGTCAAGGAGAAGGTGTCGTCGATGTACACACCACAACACTAGAAGGAGCCACCTCACTCCCATTGACAATGAGGAGGTAGACAAAAAAGTAGAGGTGAGTCAGGTCATCATCCAGCCATCAGTACAACAGGTGACCTACACCTCCCTACTTGTACCTAAGATCCTTATGACCCCATGGCCTAAGGACTTCAAAGCCTCGAGCCTGGAGTCTTACGATGGCACAACAGACCCGGTCGATCGCATTGATAGTTTCCAGGCTCTCATGCAACTTCATAGGGCAAATGATGCAAGCTTGTGTATGGTCTTCCCGACAACTTTCCTGGGTACAACTCGGATGTGGTGCTCGGGACTGCTCGTGGGCTCAATCAAAAGTTAGAACCAGCTTGCAGATCTGTTCACAATGCACTTCGCCACCAACAAGAGGTGCCCAAAATCAGCAACCTGCTTACTGAATATGGTCCAACGACCAGGCGAGACGCTCCGAGACTACATCAAAAGATTCAACTTGGAGCGCCTCCAAATTCCAAACCTTGACCAAGTAGTTCAGCTCACCGCAACAGCCAACAACGTTCGCCACCTTGACTAGCGCTAAGAAGTAGAGTTAAACCATCCATCCACTATGGAGGAGTTCCTCCACTAGGCCAACAAGATTACAAAGGTGGAGGAGGCACTAGGATCCCGGTTAGAGTTGATTGGGAAGAGAAGTCGGTCACCCCGTAGTAGGTGAAGCAAGTGGCCAAGAAGAAGGAGAAGGTCCCCCCACTGGAGATCCAGATCGGGTAGGCGTTCCAGAACCCCTCCAGTCCAAACCAGGAGTTACACTGCCCTAAATGCAAAGATGGGTGAAATTTTGATGCAAATAAAAACGACCGAGTCCCAAGATGAGAGGCGACCTTGCCAACAAGAACCCTAACAAATACTGTCACTTCCACCGTGACATAGGCCACAAAATAGAAAACTACAGAAACCTAAAAGATGAGATTGAGGAGTTGATCCGTCACGGCTGCTTGAAGCAATTCATCAAGCACGATGACCGAAGCCGATCTATTGACCAACCAAGAAAAGTGCCAGAGTTGAGTAGGAATCAAGATAGGGATCAACCACCAGCGGAGCAACCTATTCGATAGTGGTAGGCTGCACAAGTGCAGTGGGAAGAAACTTAGTTTGGGAGCTCAAGCACGATGACGAGAACCCATTGAAGTGCCCTTAAGTGGAGGAAGTCATATACTTCATTGAGGATGACACTCGCGGGATCCAGTATCCGCACGACAACGCCCTCGTTGTCAAGATGATAATCAATGACTTCGAGGTAAAGCGGATTCTGGTTGACTCCAGAAGCTCGGTCGATATCTTATGCTTGGATGCCTTCGAGAAAATGCATCTGGAGAGGAAGGACTTGCAGCCAACCAACATCCCACTCACTGGCTTCATCAAAGATGTGGTGAGGCCTCTAGGCCGAATTAAGGTGCAAGTTGCAGTAGGCTCGGATTCAAATTTAGTCTGCTTCGAGCACCACTTCCTGGAGGTTACGACTCTACCCCCTTACAATGCCATTCTAGGTCAGCCCATCCTACATGCACTTCGCGTAGTGGTGTCGACCTATTACCTCTCGGTGAAGTTTCCAACGAGGTACGGAGTAAGGGTTGTACGAGGCGATCAACTGGAGTCACGCAAGTGTTATGCCATGGTGTTGAAGGGCAAGGGAAAACTAGCAAACGATGTTGACCTGGAGTCGCCCCCTGAGAACACCGATGAGCGAGCTTGCCTAATGGAAGACACTGTCCTGCTCCCAATCTCAAACATTGAGCCCTAGAAAACAGTCTAGATCAAAACTCACCTTGTAGATCCTCTTCAATCGCAATTGGTAAGTTTTTTACTTAATAATTTAGATGTTTTTGCATGGTCGGAAGCAAAAATGCTCGACATAGACCCCTCTATAATTACTCATAGACTTAATGTGGACCCTTTAGCTAGATGAGTCAGGCAAAGGAAAAGGAACCTCACCCCAGAAAGGTGGAGGATAGTTGACAAGGAGATTGTGAAGCTTCTCACAACAGACTTTGTTAGAGAGGTTTAATATCCGAGTTAGGTAGCCAACCCAATGCTCATGAAAAAAGCAAATGGCAAGTGACGGATGTGCGTCGACTACACTGATCTTAATAGAACCTGCCCAAAGGAGAGTTTCCTACTCCCTAGAATAAACTACCTGGTAGACGCGACCTCGAGGCACGACTTGTTGAGTTTCATGGACGCTTACTCTAGTTACAACCAGATCTGGATGGACCCAAAAGATGAAGAAAATACCACCTTTGTAACCGAATAGGGCTTGTATTGTTATAAAGTAATGCCCTTTGAACTGAAAAACACTAGAACAACTATCTAGCGACTTGTAAATAAAATCGTTACACCATTGATTGGCAATAAAATCAAGGCTTATATTGATGACATGGTAGTGAAGACCTAATTTGCAAATTCTTAATTTCTGATTTAAGTTCTATTTTCAAAATTCTAAGAAAATTTATCATCAAGCTCAACCCAAACAAGTGTGTCTTCGGGGTCAGATTGGGCAAATTTCTTGGCTATATAATGCACCGACGTGGCATCGAAGTCAACTCAGACAAAATCCAAGCAACCCTAAATATAGGACCACCTAGGTCAATAAAAGAAGTACAAAAATTAACAGGTCGGATAACTGCCCTGAACCGGTTTATGTTTAAGTCGGCTGGATAGTGTCTTCCATTTTTTAAGGCCATAAAGAAAAATGAGGACTTTGAGTGGACTGAGGAGTGCCAACTCGCGTTTGACAAGCTAAAAAGGTACCTTAGTTCACTTCCCCTATTGACTAGACTAGAACCTGGAGACAAGCTAAAACTCTACCTCTCCACGAGTGGGGAGGTGGTAAGCTTGGTACTAATTTAAGAAGTAGATAGGGTGCAACAATCCGTCTGCTACATAAGTAAAGTTTTGCATGTAGTTGAGACCAGGTACCCCGACATAGAGAAGCTGGCCTTTGCCTTAGTCTTACCAACTCAGAAGTTACGCCCCTATTTCCAAGTCCGTACCATCATAGTCCTAACTAATTGACCTCTAAGGCACATTCTTTAGAAGCCTGGGGTCTTGGGAATGTTGATAAAGTGGGCTATTATGCTAAAAGATTATGACATCCGGTGTGAGCCGTGCCTAACAATCAAGGCACAGGTCCTAGCAGACTTTGTCGTCGAGTGCATGTTCAATACACCGACCCTTGGGGTGGCTGAGCCAGTTAGCACGTCAAAGGCATCAACTAGTACAATGCTCGTCTCGGCCTGGGATGAGGAGCCTTGGATCCTCCACATCGATGGCTTGTCTAATCAACGCAGAAGTGAAGCTGGGCTGATACTGTACGGGCTTAGTGAGGTGAAGCTAGAGTACACCCTCTGGTTTGCATTCAAAGTGTCGAACAACAAAGCGAAGTATGAGGCCCTGATAGCTGGGTTGACTCTGGCAAAGGAGGTCGGTGCAAAGAATGTCATGGTGTGTAGCAATTCTCAGCTGGTGGTAAACTAGGTGAATGGGCAGTATGAGACCCGAGAGCCTACCATGTCGGCCTATCTGGCCAAGGTGAGAGAGGTCCTACACAACTTCCACTCTTGGTACATTCAATAGATACCAAGGACCGAGAATACTGAAGCCAACACTCTTTCATAGCTAGCTAGTGCAACAGAAATCACAAGGATGATGGTCTTTGTTGAAGACTTGCCACGACCTAGTATAGAGAGGGTGGTAGAAGAAGTCGCTCTTGCTCTGGCAACAGAGCCTAGTTGGATGGATATACTCATAGACTATTTGCACCACAAGACCCATCTAGCAGATCGCAATGCAAATCGGAGGGTAAAGCATTAGTCAGCTCGCTACATTATCATTGGCGAGTAGTTGTACCACAGGCCTTTTACACTCCCCTATCTACGTTGCTTGTAACCTATAGAGGCAAATTAGGTGCTACACAAGATCCATGAGGGTCTTTGTGGAAGACACCTGGGGGGCAAGGCGCTAAGGCAAGGCTACTACTGGCGTACAATGAAGGCAGACACACTAGAGCTCGTCCGGAGATGTGACAACTGCTAGAGGCACGCCAACATACCCCACTAGCTTGTCGCCAACTTGAAGTACCTGACCAGCCCGTGGTCATTCGCTCAGTGGGGAATTGACATCCTTGGTTGTCTCCCACCTGTGACCGGACAGAGAAGGTTCTTGGTCATAGTGGTTGACTACTTTACGAAGTGGGTGAAAGTCGAGCCATTAGTGTCAATCACATCCCAAAACATACAAAACTTCTTCTAGAGGAATATAGTGTGCAGATTCGGACTCTGAAAGATGTTGATATCAGACAATGGGAAACAATTCAAGGACACCAAGTCCCAGAATTGGTGTGTCGAGATGGAGATACAACAAAACTTCACCTCAATAGCTCATAACCAAGCGAAGACAGGCCAAGGGGACGAACAGGGAAATTCTCCACGGACTTAATGTTTGGTTTTCCCGAGCTAAGGGTTTGTGAGTAGACGAGCTACCTAACGTCTTTTGGGCTTACTGAACTACAATCAAAACGACGACCAAAAAGACCCCATTCAATCTAATGTACGGAATGGAGGTCGTCATCCCTACCAAGATTGAGGTGCCCACCTTACGGTTAGAGGTGTACGATGAGGAGGCCAACGACGATGAGCTGCGGACCAACTTCAACCTGGTGGAAGAAGTTCGAGACCTGGCCTATATTTGGATTGTGGCCTACTAGCAACGAGTACTATAATGCCTAAGTCAAGAGACACTTCCGAATTGGTGACCTTGTACTTCGGAAAGTTATGGTACCTGAGCCTGGTGTAGGCAAGCTAGGTTCAAACTGGGAAGGTCCCTACAAAGTACTCAAGGTGATCGATGAAGGAATGTACAAGCTCAAGACGTTGGAGGAGAGGCAAGTGCCCCGTGCATGGAACGTGGATAAATCTAAGGAGGTAGTACCTGTGAGCTCAGGAGTCCAGCGTCCACATCTTCACCAACTTCTTAAAAGTTTCACTAAGTATAAAAGACCACAGGCCTTGGCGACTTGGTCGAGTTGTCTTTTAATATGGAGCACGTCGGCTAATTTACACCTCAAAGGGGACGCCAAGTTGCTTTTAGCCTAAAGGCCCCCTATGCCGACCTGGCAATGACATCGGTAGTATGATAGGCCTAGTTGCCTTGACACATAGGCAGTTAGGGTTATATCCCATACTATGCCTAGTCGCTTCGGCATATAGGCAGTTCAAGTTATATTCCATACTATGTCTGGTTGCTTTGGCACATAGGCACCTCGAATTAATCCTATACTTAGTTTATTTTCGTGTGAAGTTTCAGGTTCAAAAGAGAAAGACACGAGGTGTGCAAAAAAGAAACTTTCATTCCTTGAAGATAAATAGTGATTACATCATCGTTAAAAAGAAGAAGAAGAAAGTTCTATTAGATTGAGCTTGAAGGCTCGACACTTCACATATTTACAAGTGGGCGGTCCAAGAAAAGAGGCAAAAGGATTTAGACATCTTGGGGCTCCTTTGGCGGCATCCTCTCTGGCAACATCCTTGTCGGCACCAATTGTAGCTTCCTCACTGACACCGTCTTCATCATCCTCAAAATCCGGCTCCAGATTGACTTGATTTGACATCTCATTGGTGCAGGCCGAGGATTTGATGGGTGTGAGGTCGAGCTCGGGGTACACCGACCTCTTTAGCATACAATAGAGTTTAAAGCCTTGATGGAAAGCAACGGTGCCGAACTCCTCCCTCTCCTGCAAGTAGTCCAGCGAGCCCTTGAACTCCTCGACCGCTCAAACCTTAGAAGCTTGGACCTAGTTGAGAACTTGGCCTCACATTCAGCGAGGTGAGCATCTTTCTCTTGAAGCTCCATCTTGAGCTTCTTGATGTGAAGCTCCAACTTGTCATTGTGGTTCCTCTTGTTCATCAGCTCGTCTTTCAACTAGCCGATGATGCCAATAGCTTGCTCCACCTGAGATTGATACTCGCCCACTGCCACCTCGATATTTTCAACCCTTTCTAGATGTCATTCAGATTGCTTGACAAGGGAGTGGACCATGGTGTTCATCTACAAAGAAAAGCAAAAGCTAAGTATAAAGACACAACCCAGGAATAGCACAACAAGGAAGTTGGAAACTTACCATCATGAGGAAGCTTATAGCTTTGGCATTGAGCTTAGCAAATTGCGTCTCAAACAGGTTGAAAACCTCCTCGGGGAAGATGATCTCCTTGCTCTTGATCAAGGCGGTTCTGAAGTCCATGATGGTCCACCTCTCCTCAGGAGTGTCCTCAGATGTTGGGGCCCTAGGTTGAAGGGGGCACGCCTCGGATGTTTGGGCCACCTCGGTCTTCTATAAGGACCTCTCTGCCTAATCTTCCCTGACCAAGTCTACCACCGGGATTGCCTCGGTAGAAGTTAACGCTGCAAGCTCAAGAGATGATGCCTGAGGTGCATCCTTGTGGGATAACTTCTGCTTCTTCCTTTTCCTCATGCTTCGAAGGAACCCCGAAGTCGAAACGCTTGACATGTCTTCTGCACAAGAAACTTGAGAGTTAGTCAAGTTAACACGAAGTAAAGAAAATGAGCACTCGAGCCTGAAATGATGGCCTACCCAGAGGACTGAATCCGACATGGATTAGCTTCTCCTCAGCCAAGAAGTCACTGAGCATCAATTGGTGGTCTACTAGATTCTGGATTTTGGCCTACACTTGCTCGTTCAATTCCTCCTTGACGTCCTTCACTCCTCTCTCTGGTGCGTTGGGAAGG